GAGCAGGAGCGTGGGGGAGGTGGCGGCGGTTGGCAGTCTCTAGGGGGCTGTGATGCCCCTTTAGTTCGTTCAGGGCTTGCTCAGGGCCTGGTTTGCAAAGGCAGGTGAGCCTCGGACCTGTCCCTGTGGGGCAGAGAAAGCCCAGGGCGTGGAGGGCGGCTGGGGTCCCTCTTCCTGGGTCTGGACCACTGAGGCTGGAGGCTGGCCCTGCCGTTCCATGAGCCCACTTTGGACTGTGGATGTTGTCCCCTGAATCGGGGGTGGTGCCACAGGCTGGCTGAGGCCCTATCCCAGCTCCTCTCCCAGCCTCCACAAACGGACGGTCAAGCCCAGTCAATGCCCCCGTGGCAGCCCGCAGCCCGGGGTGGCCAAGGCCCCTCTTGTGAAAGAATTCTGCCGATTCAGAGCCTCAGGCCAGTCTGCCAGCCCTCCCGGGGCCCAGGTCGGTGGACAGATGGCTCCAAGAGATGGAGACAGGCCAGGCTGCCCGGGACATCTGCCCCCTCACAGTGCCTGGGCCACAGGGTCCCAACGAGCGGGGCCCAGTCTCAAAGTCCTCGCTGTGGCCTTGACTCAACTGCCATCCCGCCTAGTGCTCCAGGCTGACGGTGAAGAGATCATCTTATCTCCGAGCAAACATTCATTCGCCCGTCTCAGGCCTCGAGACGCTAACAGGGCATTTTCTTGCCCTTCCCAGTGTGCCCGCAGCGCCACCCCAATGAACGCAGCCCGGCCTGGGCCCGGGGCTCAGACGCGGGAGCACCCGCGTGGCCGGCGGGGCCTCGAGCTGCATTCCAGATCCAAACAATATTTGGGGATTTGCGTTGTTTTAAATTCTTCCTACACTTCAGCTGTCCAGAAGGGGCGTCCGCGGTCTCAAAGTGCCGGACCTGGGAGGACAGGGGTTGCTCTCAGCTCCCAGCCTGGTTCTCCTGAAGTGCGAGGCCAGGATAATTTGGGGGGACATGCAGCCATCAACAGCGGTCCCTACGAGTTATTATTTCTTGTAAGGTCTGTTAGAAGTAGCTTCAAACCTGCTTAGGACGCAGTTGAAGAAGGTATTTAAGTGATAAACAAAGGCACCGAAGGCAGAAAACAGCTGCTCAGTGATCTGTCAGCCCCATGGCGCCTGGGTCTCCAGAGCTGGGATGGAGGCTCCAGGGACTGCTCTGCGGGGGCTGCTCTTCATCCCCTTCGGGGCCACTAATGGTCAGATGACCCCTCCTCCATAAGGACACCAGCGCCCATGTCTCAGCTTCGGGGACCCGGAGGTTGGTGGCTCTGTGGCCCTTCTCATGATTGCCAAACCCTGGAAGCCAGCCCCTCCCCATCCCCGTCCTTTCACTGCTGGGACCTCCGCGCTCATCTGCTCGTCACACCTGCCGAGACGTGTCAGGGCCCGATTCTAGGGAAAACAAATGAACAGGACAAAGTCTTTGTTACCAGGGAGCTCTCAGCCTGCTTGGTGATCTGTTCATTCATTCATTCATTCATTTGGTAGATCCATATCGAGTGCCAACCAGGGCAGGCACAGTTCTGGGCCCAGGGCTCGGGGGCTCGGCAGATGAATGTGGCCCCTGCTCTGGTGGGCTCAGCCAGCCCCCAGCCAAGGCTGCTGCCCTCGGAGCTGAGGACAGAGGTAGGATCAGGACCCCGCGCTCCCCCTCCCCACGAGGCCACAGAGCCTGAGGTGTCCACACTCCCTTGCTCTCCTGCCGTCTCCCATGTGTCCCCAACCATGCACACCCCCCGCATGGATTCAGTGTTATGAACTGAGAGCTTTTTTGCAAAGGAAAGAGGTGAACTCTCCCACGTTTTCTCCCATTATCCGCTGAGCTTGCCCCAAACACAAGCTGGATGGTATAAGTATTATTTCATCCTAATTAAGGACACTTGGGAGCCAGCGAGCACCACCCTTCATGGTGGGCTCCCTGGAGGGCAGAGGTCAGGCATGGGAGCAGGGCCTGCCACTGTCACCCAGTGGAAGCAGAAGTCCCCTGCCAGGGCCAGGCTCCCGGGGGGAGGACAGGGCAGGGAGCTGGAAGCAGGCCTGATCGGCTTATTTCACTCAGTGTAATGTCCCCGAGGTTCGTCCACGGTGTAGCTTGTGGCAGAATCACCTTCCTTTACAAGACTCTGTAATATGCCGCTGAGTGGATGGACCACGTTCTGTTTTGGCTATTCAAAGTCCCTTAAATTCCATATGAATTTAAGATGGCTTTTTTCCTTTTTCTGCAAGAAACGTCATCCTGAGTTTAAGAGGAATTGCTTTGAGTCTTAGATCACTTTGGGTAGTGTTGACATCCGAACAACGCTGTCTTCCAAGCCATGAATATGGGATATGTTTCCATTGATTTGTCCTCTTTCATGTCTGTAAGCAACATTTTTCAGTTTTCATTGTACAAGTCTTTCACCTTCTTACTTAATTTATAAATATTTTATTCTTTTTGTTGCTAGTGTAAACAGAATTGTTTTTGTAATTTCTTTTTTTTTTTTTGAGGAAGACTGGCCCTGAGCCAACATCTGTGCCCATCTTCCTCTACTTTATATGTGGGACGCCTGCCACAGCATGGCTTGATGAGCGGTGCCATGTCCTCACCCAGGATCTGAACCAGCGGACCCTGGGCCGCAGAAGCGGAACGTGCGAACTTAATTGCTGCACCATGGGGCCGCCCCGGTTTTTGTGATTTCTTTTTCAGATTGTTTATTGTTTGTAGAAACAATGCGACTGATATAGAAATGCAACTTATTTTTGTGCATTGGCATTGTATCCTGCTTTGCTGAATTCATTTGTTAGATTGAACCGTTTTTTGTGGCATCTTTAGGGTTTTCTACACATAAGGTCATATCTTCTGTAAACAGAGATCATTTTACGTCTTCCTTTGCGATTTGGGTGCCTTTATTTCTCTTTATCGCCTAATTGCTCTGGCTAGAACCTCCAGTCCTATGTCAGATAGAAGTGGTGAGAGCCTTGTTCCTCAGAGGAGAAGCTTTCAGCCTTTCACCATTGATATGATGTTCACTGTGGGTTTTTCATATATGGCTTTTAATATGTGGAGGTAATTTCTTTCTATTCCTAATTTGTTTACTGGTCTTTTTTTTTTTTTTTTTATCATGAAAGGGTATTGAATTTTGTCAAATGCTTTTTCTGCATCGATTGAGATCATGTGGTTTTTTTCCTTCATTCTGTTAATGTGGTGTATTATACTGATTGATTTTTGTATGTTGAACCCTCTTTGCGTTCCGGGAATAAATCTCACTTGGTCATGGTGTATACTCCTTTTAAAATGGTGCTGAATTGAGTTTGCTAGTATCTTGTTGAGGACTTTTTTATTTTTTAAAGATTGGCACCTAAGCTCACAACTGTTGCCAATCTTTTTTTTTTTTCTGCTTTTTCTCCCCAAATCCCCCCAGTACATAGTTGTATATTTTTTTAGTTGTGGATACTAGTAGTTGTGGCATGTGGGACACTGTCTCAGCGTGGCCTGATGAGTGGTGCCATGTCTGCGCCTAGAATCCGAACCAGCGAAACCCTGGGCCACCGAAGTGAAGCGTGCGAACGCAACCACTCGGCCACGGGGCCAGCTCCAAGGATTTTTGCATCAATATTCATAATGGATACTGGTCTGTAGTTTTCTTTTCTTGTAGTGTCTTTGTCTGGCTTTGGTATCAGGGTCATGCTGGCCCCATAGAACGAGTTAGGAAATGTTCCCTCCTTTTCAATTTTTTGGGAAAGGTTTAAGAACGATTGGTATTGGTTCTTCTTTAAATGTTTGATAGAATTCACCAGTGAGGCCATTAGGTCCTGGGCTTTTCTTTGCTGGGAGATTTTTGATTACTGATTCAGTCTCTTTATTAGTTATGGGTCCATTCAGATTGTTTTTTTGGTTTTTTTGCTTGAGGAGGATTAGCCTGAGCTAACATCTGTGCTAATTTCCTCCACTTTATATGTGGGATGCTGCCCCAGCATAGCTGACGAGTAGTGTAGGTCCACACCTGGGATCTGAACCCACGAACTCGGGCTGCGTAACCACTGTGCCATAACCACTGGGCCAGCCCCCAGATTGTCTATTCCTTTATGATTTAGTCTTGGTAGGTTTTGTGTGTCTAAGATTTTGTCCATTTTGTCTCGGGTATCCAATTGGTTGGTGTACAGCACTTTCCTTTTGAATTAATTCTTACGCTATCCATCCTCATTGGCCCATCTACCCATCCCTTTCTTCCTCCGTCCCTCCATCTCTCCTTCCACCCACCTGCCTGTCCATCGTAAGCCAGGTGTTGGTCCTTGCTCTCTGGCTTCCCCTCACCTCCCCAGAGTGCCGTGACTATAGGCTCATCTGTGGAACAGTCTCTGCTGGAGGCCTGGGCCATGGAAAGGCCCTCTAGGGGGCATTATTTCACAGGTGACATTGTACCTGCCCTTCCCTTTAGGACTGTGACGCCCTCTGAGACCCTGCTTTCTCCTGTGACCCAGCTCCCCTGCCCCAGGGAGCTCTTGCGCCTGCGCCCCAGTGAAGGCTGCCAAGTGGTGGACACTGTGTCCCTGGTGGCATGGTGGCCATGTGAGGTGACAGAGAGATTGTCCATGAGGATAGATGTTCTCCAACCCCCTAATTGGGATGTATGGCCTGCACTCTGGGGACTCAGTGGTTTAAATGAGTGCTGGCTGGAGAACATGGGCTTCAGATGTCGTATTTCTTGGGGCCAGACGAGAGCACCAGACCCAGAGCTGCTCCTGAGCTCTGGCGTGGATGTCCCCTTGGGCATGGTCAAGCCCTGGTCTGAAGAGAAGCAGGCCTCACTGGTGTCCACCAGCAGGGGACCTGGGCTTGGGTCGCTGGCCTCTCCGGAGGGGCGATGCAGACCAAGACCCTGACCGGCTGCTCTCGCGACGTCTCTCAGCAGAGGCTCCACATTGGGGGCCTGCCCATTGGTGTAGCCCTGCCTGAACAGGTGTCACGGCTGGCCGCGTGGTGAGCTCGTGCCCCTTTGCCCCACAGGAGATCGTCCTGGTGGTGTTCTTTGGGACAGAGTACGCCGTCCGCCTCTGGTCAGCAGGCTGCCGCAGCAAGTACGTGGGCATCTGGGGGCGGCTGCGCTTTGCCCGGAAGCCCATTTCCATCATTGGTGAGTCATGCCTGCCCCCACGGAACCTTCACCCCGAGGTTCCCAGGCAAGGGCTGGCCCCATCCCCAGGAAGGGGGCTCCGTGGGGCGGGCGCCTATCATGAGCACCAGCAAGCAGGGTACCCGTGAGGAGGGAGAGACCCCCAGGCTACCCTGCCTATAATGGGGCAGGACCCCAAGGCCAGCAAGGTGACATCCCAAGTCCCCCAGCACGGGAGCCAGCCTCCACACCAGGGTCCCCTGTCCTCAGATGCTGATCACGGGCCGGGGTCTTGACTGTGCTTAGTACGGTGTGGGTGTCTGCTTCCCTCAGTGGCCTGTGAGCCGGGGCCAGGGGGGTGGGACCAGGTGGGCTCTGCATGTGCCCGAGACAGAGGGCTGAGTCTCCCCATCCGAGGTATCTCTGTCTCCCCTTTGTCAGGCCCTGTCCCGCCCAACTGCCAGGCTCCTTGCCCTGAGCCAGCTGCCTGGCTGGTGATGGTGGTGTCACACTGTCCCCCGTAGACCTCATTGTGGTTGTGGCCTCCATGGTTGTCCTCTGCGTGGGCTCCAAAGGGCAGGTGTTTGCCACCTCAGCCATCAGGTACAGCTGGGCTGCAGCTCTCCTGGCTGGGAGGGGAGAGAGCTTTGGGCTGGTGTGCTGGGGTGGGCGGCCGGCTTGGGGCCCCTGCTGAGTTAGGCTGCCTGGCTTCCAGACCCAGCATGAGCACTAGTTCATTTCCAGGATTCAGTCTGCTCTTCTGTAAACTGGGGTGATCCCGGGGCCTCCCCCAGAAGCAGTCTGCCCCTAGCCCTCAGCCTGTGCTTGAGGAAGGGGGTGAGGGGCGTTGGGGGTTGCACAATGGTGAGTGGGTAGGTTCGGAGCCAGGCTTTCAGGTGCCTGGGTGGAGTGGTCTGGACGGGGCATGGAGACTTCTCTTCCGCAGGGGCATCCGATTCCTTCAGATCCTGAGAATGCTGCATGTCGACCGCCAGGGAGGCACCTGGAGGCTGCTGGGCTCCGTGGTCTTCATCCACCGTCAGGTGGGTGGTCCGGGGGAGGTGCAGGGGCCTGGAATAGGGACAGACAGGGTGCAGTGCAGGGGCTCAGCTGAGCCCTAGTCCAAGCCAGGTGGGCCGTTCTGCCCATACCAATGGTGCCAGCATCCCTGGCCTGCCAGGCTAATGATGTTCCTTCAAGCTGGGGACAAGAGACTATGGGGCAAATGAAAAGACAGAAATGCAAGGTGGAAAAAGGTCCAGGAGGCTCAGAAATCTAGAACTGGGCAGATCAAGAATAGCCCCGGGGGGGGTGGAGGTGGCCCACCTGCTCCCCTCCACGAGGGCCTAGCCCTTCCTCCCACCACGGCTTTGCAGGACAGAGAGCCACAGCAGCAGAGCCTGTGGAGCCCAGACCGTCTGTCCAGGCCAGGGCTGGGGGCCCGCCTCACTCCTGGGGGGCAGGACCCAGCACTGGCCTTTTACAAGGGTTGTGAGAAATAGGTTATTTTGAAGTCTGATGTCTGCATGTAAAACATGCTGGAATTTACATAGAACTTTCTGGTAAATGTTGGAACTTGCTGCTGGGCAGGCCCCCGCTGCCTGTGACGTTGGCCCGGCATTTTCGCAGAGGCTCCTGGGTGCCCGGGAGCCCAGCTGACGGGCACCTTCTCTGCTCGCTCTGTTTCCAGGAGCTGATAACCACCTTGTACATCGGCTTCCTGGGCCTCATCTTCTCCTCGTACTTCGTGTACCTGGCCGAGAAGGACGCCGTGAACGAGTCGGGCCGTGTCGAGTTTGGCAGCTATGCAGATGCCCTTTGGTGGGGGGTGGTAAGTGGGGACTTTGGGCAGGGCTGTCCAGTGTGGGGGCAGCAGAGGGCAGGACGTTGCCCACGGGCTGTGGGGCTCTGGGTTCTGAAGATTTCGTGCCTCAACAGGGGCACTCCTTGCCCGAATGCTCGAAACCCCTCCTGCAGGCTTGGGGTTGAAGCTGGCGGTGGCCAGGTGTGGTGGGCCAGCGGCTAAGCACAGTGCCAGCACTCAGAAGGCCGTACCCTCGGTGGCCGCACACTTGGCGTCCTAACCTTTTTGTCTTTGGACCTGTGTTTGTGAGGGAAGTCAGAGGTGCTGGAGTGGGTGCGGGGCACTTGGAGCCTCAGCTCACGCTGGGTCCCAGCTCTGCCCACCCCGCCGGGGCCCGAGTCCTCCGCTACCTGTCCCCTCGCCTGCACCCTGGCCGTGAGGCCCCGGCCGCCCTTCGCCCTGGGTGCAGGTGTGGGACGGTGGGGTCAGATGTGTGCCCTGCATCTCTGAGGGCCTGTGCTGGCCCCACAGCTACCCCTGTGTCGAGGAGCTTGACATTATGTCTCAAACAAGGCACCCAGGACAGGTGGGAGGACCTCCGACGGAGGAGGTCTCCCACGTGGTGACATGAGCCAGGTCTGTGAATTTGGTAGCTGGCCCTGGGCAGCAGTAATGCCAGAGCGGGCTGTGCCCTGAGAGGCAAAGTAGTCCAGAAAAGTGTGGGTTCTGCCCCAGGGGCACAGGGGCTCCCCTGGCTGCGAAGATGGGACTCCTTGGGCGAGCTGAGGGCAGAGCCTGGCTGGTGTGCTCCCTCCCCCTCCACCAAGCACCCAGCTTCTGCTTGGAAGTGGCTGGGACCCAGGCTGGGTGGCTCTTAGCTCCCCTGAGCTGCCACTGTGCAGGAGTGGTGGATGGAAAGCAGAAGCAGATGATCCCGCAGAAGGTGAACACCACTCGGGTTTGCTGTGGTTGGTCCGGGGGCCTCAGCCAGCTGCAGGACGTCTGACTGCGTGCTACATGGGTGCCGCTGCCGGCGGGAACCTGGCGTCACTGGACTGTGGGCCCGCAGAGCAAGTTTTCAGGGCACCAAACCCGCCACTCACATCTCCGACCTCACGGAGAGGAGGCAGATCCTGGGAATTATCTGCAGGGTGGCCGGCAGCTTACCACCCACAGGGATGGGGAACAGCAAGTGCAGGGCCCTGAGGCAGCCTGGGACGGCTGCTCGCTGTAGGGGAAGGCAGGGGTGTGGGCTGTCTCTGGGGCACAGCCAGGCCCCGGAACTCCCCGGCTGTCCCGTGGGGCACACGCAGCATACCTCCTCCAACATGCTCTCGGGGTGCAAGGAGCTAGTGCCCCAGGACGCTCTAGAACTGAGCCTGGAGTGGTGGCGTGGGTGACAACAGGGGGACGCTGGCCCTGGTTACAAGCTGCGCAAGGCCGAGGGGGAGTCCCTTTGAGCTGGGGGCAGGCTGGCTGATGTCTAGGCTCACTCCGGCTGGGGCAGGAGAGGGTTGCAGCCTGCATGAAGTAGCGCCGAGGCCTTGGGGGCAGTGCAGGGTGGAAGGGGCACTGGGTCGGGGACAACGGCTATGCCAGGCCCTAGCTGTATCTGTCCCCAATGTGTTCCCTTCCAGAAGGGGCAGGCCAGGCTCTCTCCTGGGGCTCCCCGCCCTCCTCCAGGAGGGAGGCCCATCCCCACTTTTTTCGGCGGGGCGGTTGTCACTCTGTGGCTCCCTGGGCAGGTACATGCCCCTGCCGTTTCTTCGTCCCCACCCCTGTGAGGCCAGGCATGCAGGGGGGTTCTTGATGTTGGCCGAGTCAGCGTGTTTTCTGGAAGCTTCCAACATGCTAGGCTGCTCAGGGAAGGCAAAGACTAAGCTCCTGGGTTGGGGAAGGCCCAGGTTCCAGCTCTGTCTGCCCGCCTGCCCTCCTGCAGGCTTGTGCCCCGCAGCCCAGGCGTGGCAGGCCCCAGCAGGTTTGGGTGGGCGGGCTCAGTCCCCGGCAGGGAGCTTGCCCGTGGTTGGCGGAGGGGTCCCGTCCTAGCGACAGGCAGGGCCCATGTAGGAACAGGCTACCCAGAGCCGGGAGGGTTCCCAGGGACCCGCCGCGCCGCAGGAGGCGCGTGGGGCACTGCCCGCCACGGCGCTGATAAGCGGGCTCAGCCGGCGCTGCCCTCCCTGCCTCGGGCGCCCGGGGCTGCGGGCGCGGGCTGCTCCCCGCCCCCGGCTGCGGCCGGGGCGCTCCCACTCCCACACCTGTGCAAACATCCGCCCGCCGGCCGGGAAAACGGCCCCTTTGTGCCCAGCTTGGCACGGGTGCCCCGGCCCGCGCCGTCAGCTGCAGCCCCAGCCTCGGCCACCACGGGCCCTGGCCTGGCCATTGTTCCTGCCAGGCCCTGCGCCCCTGGGCCGCCTGGGCCCCCGCTGCCGGGGCTCCGGGGCAAACGGCTCCCATTCATAGCAGCGGCTGCCCCTGCAGCTGTCCGGGCGGGAGCAGCCCGAGCCTTGAGTTATGGGCTGTGTTCCTGGCGCGTCTCGGACAAACAGAGCCCAAGAAACGCAAGCCGGGGCGGCCCCGATCGGGGCTTCGGGCCAGTTTGCCAATTGCAACTGCACCCCGGCAGTTGTTCTGTCTCCTCTGTCCTGGCTTCCTTCACCCCAAGGAGGAGTGACGCCACCCCCCCTACCCGACACTGTCCACGGCTCCCCGGCCTCGGCAGGCCGAGGAGGAGGTCTGCTCAATGAGGGGTGCTGCCAGAGGGCACCTAACGGGAGCGAGGGCTGGAAGCTGGGCCATATCTGATCTCTGCTGGGTCTGCACACCTCCCCAGGCCTGGGCTAGGGGCCGGCCAGGAGCCAGCCCAGCTTCTCAGAGATGCGTGGGATGGACCCTAAAATAGAGCGTCTGGGCGGCTGGGGTGTGGGAAGTGCCGTCCACTGGGTTTCCTTTGGAGAGCGGTGGCGAATCCTGCTGGGGAGCCGCCATGTGGAGACGCTCTCGAGCCCCTTGGGCTGTGGGTGCCATGGGGGTGGCCCCAGGTGTCCTCAGCATCTGGGCTCAGCCGGTGGGTGTCTGTTGTGTGAATGAATGAGTGAGTTGATGTGCGTAGAACGGTTCTGTCCATGGCACCCGGGACAGTGGGTGTTGGGGTCTCCTGGGGCTGATGCAATGAAGTCCCACAGACTAGGGGGCTTTAAACAACAGGAACGTATTCTCTGCCAGTTCTGGAGGACAGTCTGAAATCGAGGTGTCGCAGGCCCACACTCCCTCTGGAGGCTCCAGGGGATGATACTTCCTGCCTCTTCCGGCTTCTGGGGGCTCCAGGCGTTCCTGGGCTTGTGGCCACATCTTCTGTCTCTTATAAGGACATTTGTCGTTGGATTTAGGGCCCAGCTGGGTAACCCCGGATGATCTCAACTCGAGTTCCTTAACTTAATCACCTCCACAGAGGCCCTATTTGCAAACAAGCTTGTATTCTGAGGGTCCAGGTGGACAAGAATTTCGGGGGGATGCCATTCAGCCCAGGACGGTGGGTGGCCCGGGTGGACTTCATGAGAAGGTCCCTCCCTCACAGCCTCAGTTTCCACTCTGTCCAGCAAAGGTGCCAGGTCAGCGGCTGATGTCCCCCCACCCCGGGTGGGGACGCCTGATTCGGGTGCGAGGTCTCCCTGCTCCCCCACATGTGGCGCCCCACACCTGGCTGCTGAGGTGTTTGGGGAGGATTTAAGACTTTTTTCTTTGCCCTTGGAACAAACTGCGTTTGTTTGTATGAAAGTCGGAGTGGAGGGAAAGGCAGTTTTGCACACACGGGCTCCTCTGTTTAGCGCCCGGGGGTCTCTCAAATCAGAAGCCTGCCCGGCTCTGTTTACCCCTGCGTCTAAATTTAGAATTGAGAGTGAAAGGCTGGGAGCCGGCTCTGCGTCTCAGCCACCATCTAAAATAGAGTCTGACTCCTGTCCCCTCTCTCCCTAGCCGTCGGCTCCAGAGGGTCCTGGCTTCCCAGGCTGTACGGCATCCTGGCAGGAGGAAGCCAGAGGGGTCTAGGGGCTGAGTGGGGCCTGGGTGAGGACAGGGCCTCCCAGACATTCCTATGTAAGCCCTGGTGGCACCGCCAAGTGGGTAGGGCCAGTGTCAGGACCTCGTCTGAAGCTGGGGAAACTGAGGCTGTGTGGGCCTGGGCATGGTGGGCCAGCCCCCCAGCACCCAGACCCTACCCGTTCCAGGGCTCTTTCTCTGCCGGGAGCTCCTACAAGGCCTGGGAGTGCTGGGCAGCAGAGAACAGAGGGTCTGCTTGTCCCCAGGCCACTACCCACCCCAGTATGATCCTTCCTCTGTAGACTATAGTGTATGGCGTGAGAAATGCAGGCTCTGGGAGCCCAGCCAGAGAAAGGCCTTTACAGCTGGGTTTTGCAGGATGAGTAGGAGTCCACAAAGCAGGTCCATCTCTCTGTACTTACTGCCCACTGACCGACACCTGGGGGGATTTCTTACATGGCCAAGGCAGGCCCCGTGAGGGTGGTGTACAGAATTGGTTTCCTCTGGGGTGGAGTTCAGCTCATGTCAGCAAGGGTAAGAACTTTCCAGCTTCATCCTGAGGGGAAGAAACATGGTCAGCATCAGGAAACAGTGAAACAGGAGGCAGTGGGGTAATGTAGTGGTCAGGAGCTGGGGGTTGGAGTCAGACGTGGTACTGCATCCCAGCTTCACCACCGACCAGCTAGCTATGTGGCCCTGGGCAGGTTACCCAACATCTCTGGGCTCATCTGTAAAATGGGTGTGAGTACCTACTTCTATGATTGTTGGAGAGTTGTCTGTGAGAACACAGAAAGCCTTGGGCGCCAGGCACCCAGAGAGGACGAGGACAAAGTAAAGGCTGTAGTAAATTTTAGAGGGCCGCTACCAGCCGTGGTTCTCTTGGTGCTCCCCAAAGCTAGACCCCAGGTGATGACTCTACAGCAAGCTAATTCACACTCAAGTGTTTATGGCTGCCATGATCCAATCACACTCGTTAGGCCTGCTAGTCT